CCGTCCCGNAGATTAACGTGCAGGACGTTTATTTAGAGTGCGCATACGTAGGACCAATCCTAGAGAAGGGAAGAGAAGGGAAGGACTGGGAAGAAGGAGGGGTGGGCTCGGCGAGAAGCTGCACAGCGGTGCAGGCTGACCCTGCTGGGAGCTCTGGAGCCCAAGCTACGGTCCTGCGTTGTCCCAAGTTGGGCCGACGTGGCCGGCCGGGCCCTTCTGCCGTATCGTGATCCATCACGGAGCACTGGCTAAGGTGGGAGTGGTCCCGCGGCTCCCGGGAAGGGGGCGTGGCCCGTCCTGGGGATGAGGCGGGGTCTGACCCGGGGAAGGGGGGCGTGGCCCGTCCCGGGGATGAGGCGGGGCCTGCCCGGGGAGGGGGGCGTGGCCCGTCCCGGGAATGAGGCGGGGCCTGCCCGGGGAGGGGGGCGTGGCCCGTCCCGGGGATGAGGCGGGGCCTGCCCGGGGAAGGGCCTGCGGGCTGCTGTGGGAGAGGGGATTTCTGGTCCCTCCCGCCGGTGCGAGGTGTTAGCCCAGGCCAGGCGGTGGCTCCGGGAGCCAGGCGGTTCCTGTCTTCATCACCGCCCCCACCCGCTCACCTGCCACGTCCTCAGTTACATCGTGGGGCAGCTTCTCCAGGTCCCAGGGGCCTGCACCTTGCTTCTCAGGCAGGGTGGCTGCCCTTGGGTGGGGCGCATTTCAGCCCTGCTGTGTGACAGCGCCTGCTCCCCCGCTCCCCGCCTTGTAATCATACTCCAGGGGCTCCTCTTCTGGTCTGTTGCCCCTTTGGGATGGCCCATTAATTTCTAACTCCTTGAGACTTTTGCATTTCTGCCGTGGGGACCCTCTACACTGCGGAGCTCAGAGCTGGAGAGAGGGTGGCACAGATTCCCCAGGAGAGTCACAGTGTAGCTGAGCTGCTTTGGCTCCTAGGCCCAGGGATACAGAGCCATCCTTGCGTCAGCACCGCTACAGCACCTCTATCTTCACAGGGCCCTGGCCCCAAGTTGGAGTTTTGACTGATTTAAGAAATTACTTCACTGCTCTCTCTGTCTGGCAGCTCCTGGATGGCGCAGCATGTGATAAAGCCAATGAATGTCATGGTCAGGGGCCCACACCAGCACCTACGTTGTCATACAGTGGGTCCTCTGGTCAGACATGATGTTACAAGGGATCCCACATCAGTGAATCGAACCCTTTGTAAGATCTCATATAGCAAGGCTGGCTGAGGCCTTGCAGGCAGGAAACACCAAACACTTACGTGTCTCTGTCACAATGAGGTGCTGTCCCTTCTAGGATGGAAGGAGTCCAGTGCAGTCAACTTGCTGCGGATGAGCTGGCTGGTCTCCATGATGGACAGTGTAGCATTGGGGCACCCAGCACTGGTTTCTGCTGCTGGCACGTTGGACTTTCAGGGGCAGCACTGGGTAGATTAGCCTTAGTGGGAAACTATGCTTTTGAATCCATGCTTAAATTCTCTCCCTGCCCCCATAGCCACCTGCCTCACATTCTGCCAGCCCTGTGGCAGCCCAGAGGCTGTCTGACGTTAATCACCAGTCATCTTGTCTACATTATTGTGTTGTGTTTCTTCCAGGGTAGAAACTCTATGGTGGCATTAATATATGACATGAAGATCTTTCTGTTTTGTGCCCACTCATTAATATGTCTTTACCCCAGATATCCTTCTCCCTGATAATTCCAGTCCTGTGACTTCTAGGCCCCTGGCTAGACAGCCAAACCATTCGCTGCTGTCCAATAGTCTGTATATGTTTAAATCTCAGGCCAATTTTCTTTCTACACAAAGGTCACAACCAATAACATGGCTTGTTACCTGCATATCAAGCTGAGCCATGTGTAAACAAAGCTGAGGGCTCTTCCTCTGCTAGCAGCTGGTCATCAGGGATCCCTCACATGATGACGGGTGTGATTTGAAGAAGAGGTACCAGTGGAGCAGGAGTGAATGACATGGGTCTCTGACAAGCTGCTCATGCAGCCTGCTTGTGCCCACTGGTCCGTGCAGATCTTCATTCCTTCCTCCCTAAATCCGCTCCGTTTTCTGGGAAGGCTTCCTTATCATCAGTACACTGGCCCCTGGCCCTCAGCCAGTACAGGAAGTCATTTGTCGGGGCCTTGAGTCGGCAGAGCTGCTCCCGGGACGCGCTGCTTTAGTGGAAACTCTCATCGTAATCACAACCAAGTCTGACAGGGTTGTGCAGAGGAAACTTATGCATGAAACTGAATTGTTTCCGACATTACCTGGAGTGGGGAAGTGTTGCTTCATGGATCGCAAGTTTGGGCAGATGACCAGGAAACGAGTTTGACAACGTACAGGGATAAGTGCACATCGAGTACCGGGGCTCTGGGTCTGTTCCTGTCCAGTTATTCACTCCGACTCCCCGCATCTTCCCCTTAGCCAGAAAGTGGAAGGGGCGGATGAGTGGTGCCTGACCTTCCTAACTCCAGTCGGATTCCAGCCACTGACACCTGGCGGGGGGGGGGGGGGGGGGNCTTCAACCAACTTTCTTTTCCCATAGCACTGGGGCTTCCTCCCCCAACAAGGGAATATGCCTTCAGATTTAAGATCTCCAGGTATTGAAAGACAAGTGTTTCCAGAACAATTTTAAAAGTAGATGGGCCCGGGGCTCCTGGGTGGCTTAGTCGGTTGAGCGTCCGACTTTCGCTTAGGTGGTGATCTCGCGGTTCGTGGGTTCGAGCCCCGCGTCGGGCTCTGTGCTGACTGCCAGCTCAGAGCCTGGAGCCTGTTTCAGTCTGTGACTCCCTCTCTCTCTGACCCTCCCCTGCTCACGCTGTCTCTCTCTCTCCTAGAAATAAATAAAACATTAAAAACAAATAAAAAAAAAAGGCACCCTCTTCTCTCTTCTTATCCTTTTCTATCTTGTTTACTAAGCCAGATGTTGCCATACAAACCACGGTGTAAGGAGAACCCACTCACTGTGTTTTGTGTGTACATACCCTCACGTGGCTGTAAGGGACCCGCAGCTCTTTCCTTCCCGATGTTACAACAAAGCAAGAGTTGGGTTTTCAGTGGAGAAAGCAGCATCGGGTGACCTAGCGTGTAGCTGTGAACAGTTAACCGTAAGAGGCCATTTTTAATTATTAGTCAAATATATGAGATTGAAATCTGATGTCAAATGTGAAAAAGAAACAACACCTGCTCCACATCTAAGTGTGTATCTTTTAGAAGCTCTCCTCGTTCATTTCTAATGTGTGACGGCACAGTGGCGCTGAGTGTGTGGTGTCTAAATGAACGAATGTGCATCTGTGGGGGGTGAATGATCGCGGTTTGGATCGACACGTGAACGTGTCTTTCCAGGGCAGGAGCCTTGCTTTCTCCACGTGAATCTTCATTCCCCAAACGTCCATGCCTCGTGCCTCTACTTCTTCGGCTTGCTGAAATGGTACCGGTTGGTAAAACCGGGGGAATGGTAAGAGCTGAACATCCAGAACATAAGTCAGGAAGAGAGGCTCTCTATGACATAGAAAACTGCACAACTACTCTACGAGTGTGAAAATGAGGGGCACTAGTCACTTTCAACCACTGTGTGTGATCAACCATTCACCTGGAGCCCTTTTCACTAGGATTCACGCTGGTCATTTGGATCATTTAACCTGGATGGGGCCCCATAACAAAACAAGCTAACTTGTCAGGTACAGAGAGAAAAAGGTTGGGAACCAGTCTTCACCTATGAGTTTTCATAAATGAGGCAAAGAATAACATTTTAGGGGCATTTATATAATCCATTATACAATTTCTGAGTCACTAGCTAATTTGTGAATAAATGGATAATTGGGAGTATGTGACTAGAGACAGAAAGGAGCACTAACGGAGGACTGACCTTGAATTACAGTCCCTGGCCCTGTACCTCATACACCGCTCATACGGTCTCCACTGGCAAGCAATGTTGGTGATATTCCTAGTATCCCTAAGAAGGGAAGTCTAATTCGAGGTACGTACTGACAAAGTTTGAATACAAGTTATTTAAAGTCACCCTCTCTTTTAGAGATGAAATTGAAGGATGATGTAATGCCTGCTTTGGCAAAGGAATTTTTGCTGATGCAGTGTCTATGTACCGGTTTATGATTTATTTTATCAAATGGTACCTAATGTCTCAGGTGACTTAGAAATTTTTTTAATGTTTATTCATTTTTGAGAGAGACAGAGTGCAAGTGGGCGAGGAGCAGAGAGAGAGGGAGACACAGAATCCGAAGCAGGCTCCAGGCTCCTAGCTGTCAGCACAGAGCCTGATGCGGGGCTCGAACCCACAAACTGTGAGATCATGACCTGAGCCGAAGCCAGACATTTAACCGACTGAGCCACCCAGGTGCCCCTCAGATGACTTTTTAAAAAATGTTTATTTTTGAGAGAGAGAACATGAGCAGGGGAGGGGCAGAGAGACAGAGAGGGTCATAGGATATGAAGTAGGCTCAGCACTGACAGCAGAGAGCCTGGATGTGGGTCTCAGACTCACGAACAATGAAATCATGACCTGAGCCGAAGTCGGACACCCAACTGACTGAGCCACCCAGGCGCCCCCAGATGATTTTTGAAAACAGTGTTTTGGTTTGATAGATGTTAGGGATTGTGTCAGCTCAGGCTGCTATAACAAAACCCCACCACTGAGTGGCTTACGAACAACAGACACTTATTTCTCATTCTGGAGGCTGAAAGTCCAAGATCAAGATGCCAGTAGATTTGGTCTTTGGTGAGGGCTCTGTTCCTCATTCATGGATGGCCATCTTTTCACTGTAATTTTGCATGGTGGAAGAGGCGAGAGATCTCTCTGGGGTCTCTTTTCTAAGGTCACTAACCCAGTTCTGTGCACACATAAACATTCAGCCTCTAGCAGGGACTTACATACAATTTCCAGTTTGCTGTGTTAGCAGGAGAGGAGAGTGGGATAGAAGCTTTACTTCTGGCTGCTTTTCAAAATGGGTTCAAAGAAGATCACCAAGATGAATGACTGTTTCCTTTCTTCACACAGGTTTTCCCCTGGGGTGCCAAGACCTCTGCCATTCAACACATCAGTCATGTACAGAAAGACTATGTTTGTAGAGTTTACAGATCACCTCTTCAGCATGGCCAAGCCCAGGCCACCGTGGATGGGTAATGGAAACGACACTGACTGTGTGTCTGTGCCTGGTGTCCTGGCAAGGAACCCCCAGTTTCGGGCTGCAGCTGAGGAGGGCTAGGCTTCCTGTACTACCACCTGTCAGGGAAATACTGGCTGGGTGTTCTCTGCCTTTTTGCCAGGCCCCCCTCCTCCGCTGTTCTCTAGATGTTAGAGTGCTCTGGGCCTTGGACCTGAGTTTGTTTTACTTTCTCTTTACCTTCTATCCCTCGCTGATCTTAGCCAGTCTCACGGTGTTAAGGCACAATCTCTATGCCAGTTACTCCCAGGTTTATATCTTCAGTTCACACTGCTTACTTGATATGTCCACTTAGATATCAAGTAAGCACGTAACAGGATATTAAGATGAGCCATCTCCTACCTTAGAATTATTTCTGAGAACTATAGGTGACAAGTGCCCCCCAGATTCTAAAGAGAAATATCTGTCCTCATATTTAGGATTTGTTCAGCTGGTGACCCCAAATTGGATCTACAAGCCTTAGCCCATCATGCTGTATAGCCCATCCAGCCTATATAAAAGAAGACTAGGGACTTACAAAATAATTTAGATTTGAGGATTTCTTTGGAAGCCAATTTTGGTGATTTGTATATCTCCCCTCCCCATGGTGGGGAGGCTTCATGCTCACGTCAAGGGCTAGTGAAGAAGGCTTTGGAGAACCATTTAGAAGACCTGACGTAACACCTGCGGAGCTTGTAAGACTCTGACTAGTGCCTGGTTTTTATCTGGAAACTTTCTCAAGGCCAGAGTCTTTGGGGAGCTTCCCCTGATGTCATAATAAGGATTGTGGGTTATAGCCAAAGCTAACGGCACTGCCACTTGTTAGGTGTGAGATCAGGAAAGTCATAGGACAAGACTTGTCTCGAGAAGATCCTGCCAGGGAGGTCTTCCTACCAGCAGAAAAGGTCTCTGCGATTATACTGCCAGAAGCAGAAACTGAGAAGAGAGATACAAGTGACAGCCAGAGAGGGCATGACTAGGGGGGAGAGAGCCTCCCAAGAACTCACATACATTTCCTAAAAAAGAAGGGCACAGACTTTTGGCAAGCCCCACAACCGGGGGTGCCAAAGCCACATTATCACTGTTCCTTCCAAGAATGATCTTGTCAGCATGCCTCTTTTTTCCGCCCCTGTCCTTTCCTCCCTAGCTCCGACCTCAGAGGGCCCAGAGGCAGTAAGGTGAGTCAGGGAGCACGACTAAGAGAGAAAGATGAGAACGTAGGCTTCTGAACTTGTCAGGACTTAGCTGAAGGAGGGAGGGACCCTTAAATTGCAGGGGACATCAAATGTTTGATATGACACTGGACTGGACTGGTTGGCCTAGACTGGTATCACTGGACTAATATGATACTGCTGATCTGTGAAGGTTAATGGAAAGATCTGGAGATTGTTCAAAGTGCAAGAGGGGAAACTCCACATAACACAGTTAAAAGCCATGCAAAATAAATCTGTTTCATGTTTTTGTCCCATTGAATCCAGCTGACTCAATAAGTCATTTTGTAGGTATCTCTCTGTTTTGTTATTCATTTTTAAGAGAGAGAGAGAGAGAGAGAGAGAGAGAGCGAGCACAAGAAGGGGAAGGGCAGAGAGAGAGAGAGGAGGGAGACACAGAATCTGAGGCAGGCTCCAGGCTCTGAACAGTCAGCACAGAGCCCGATGTGGGGCTTGAACTCATGAGCCACGAGATCATGACCTGAGCCAAAGCCAGATGCTTAACCAACTGAGCCACCCAGGCGCCCCCATTTTGTAGGTATCTTATACTTAGTATGTCTGTAAGTCAGAAGTCTTGATTTCCCTCTTAATTTTCTGTGTCTTGGGCTGACTGCCACCAAGTGGCACAAGTCCAAACCACAGGAATAATCCTGTCGACTCTTCATCCAAAACAAGTCTCAAGTCTGCTTACTTGTTATAAATTCCAAACTCATCCAAACCTCTGCGCCCTACAGAGTCCTACGTGTTATGTTCCCTCCCTGCCCTTACAACCCTACTTTCTGTTATTCCCCTGCTCATTCACGTGTTACTCAGCCATGTTAATATTATTTGCATTTGTTTTATCTGCTTTGAATGTTTTCTATGAGATGTTTGCAAATTTTGCTTTTTAATTAGTCACATCTCTGCTCAAATGCCATGTCCTCAAACATGCCCTCCCTGCCCACTGTGCTTAAAGGATCCTGTGTCTCCTGCTTCAGCATTTCCTAGCACACCGCCATCTTTCATAGCATTGACTGCAACCAGCATAGTCCTTATTTCTTGATGTGCCTGATTTCATCCTCTTGAATATAATCTCCATGATGTGTCTTATTCGCTACTGCGCCTCCAGTGCCTAGGACAGTCCCTAGAATGTGGTAGGAACTCAACTGAATGGATTGCCAGAAATCTATCCTCAGAAGAGCCATGACGTTGAGCTGGTGATGGCAGTTTAAGCATTTATTCACTCAATTACTGCTTTTTACCAATAATCACAGGGGCACAACTTTGGCCATCACTTTCATAATAGCAGATTTTCTGGAGTGCCACTCTCCAAGTGACTTCTGGGGGACATCTTGTTTTTGCAGGTCTGCTAGGTCCTACCATCCGGGCCGAGGTTTCTGACACGGTGGTCGTTATACTCAAGAATATGGCTTCTCACCCTGTCAGCCTTCATGCTGTTGGCGTGTCCTACTGGAAAGCTTCCGAAGGTGAGTCAGATGCCCTCCTACTGCCCTCCCACCCCAGGGGTAAAGCAGTATTGAATACAGGGTCAAACCACTGGGGAATGGGGGAGTCGGCATTCAAACTGGGGCCTGTTTCATGAAGTCAGCAACACTCTTACCTTAGTGTAAGCCCTGAAGTTTAATTTACTTCCTGTCCTCCCTTGAGGAACAAGGCCACGGCTCCTAAGAATTCCACTTCATCTGCCTTCCTATGTCCAGAAACTTCCTAGGGATGATGAAGGCTCATGGTATGGAAATGAAGTGGAATTATTCCTTCATTAGATTCTCACTTTCTAGATATTTCCTCTCCCTCCCCTCTCTCCAGGTCCTAAATACTAATGCCACCATGTGATAAGAGCTAACTACGAGAAGCACAAGCTGACCTCATTGAAATAAGCCACCTATGTGGCCTGAGTCCCCACTTTACTAGCTTCTCCTTAACCTTCACAATGCAGGAAGGGAGTGCAGGGGGTGCTATGTTGTCCAGATAGACTAGGGCATATAGAGATCAAGAGAATCCAAGCAAATCATTAATAGACTGTTGAAGCACGTGCCCTCTATTGTATGGCCTAACTGTGCTTGCATGTGGACTAATTTCCCTCTGAAGTTGGAAAAAGTCTTAATCTTTTTGAGTTGCACTTCATGAGGCCAAGGCAGACCTGGGTTGGGGGAGTACAACAGGTGGGTGCAGGTGGTATAGAGCCTGGCAGGCTGTTCCCATGAGGATTATCCACCTGGGAGCTTCCAGAATGTTCTAGGAGCTTTTTAGTGAGGCCAGGGTTCCCGCAGTTTTGCCGCTGGGGGTGAGCATAGACATGACTCTTTTGCACCGTAAGCCTGGTGAGGTCTGGGAAAATGATATGATCTCTCACGTGGGCATCCCTAGTGGTTCCGCCCAGAAGCAACACAGGGAGACAATGTTGACCTTTCTGATACCCTATTGTAAAATATCTTATCGAGTGTTCATCGGCTTTTCCTGTTGGAAAAAAAAGGAGTTGTTTATCTTTTTTCTTACTGATTTGTATAGGTATTTTATATATTCTGAATACACATCATTTGACAGATGTAAATATTTGCATATATTCTTCCAGTCTGTGCCTTGAATTTTCACTCTCTCAATATTTTTTTTGGTAAACAAGTTATTAATGAAGCACAAAAGTTCAACAGTTAATGAAGCACAAAAAATTATCACTTTTTTTTCTATGTTAGAGCTTCATGTCCTGTTTAAAATATTTGCCTACCCCAAAGTCGTGAGGACTTTCTTCCATGCTTTTCTCCAGAAGTTTTATTATTTTACCTTGTATAGGTCTGCGATCCATCTCAAATTGATTTTTGTGTATGGTTTCCCCATAGCATTTTTTTAATGTAATCTTTCTGCCCACTGTGGGGCCTGAACTCAACCCTGAGATCAAGAGTTGCATGCTCTACCGACTGAGCCAGCCAGGCGCCCCTCTCCATAGCATTTTTCAATTTTTTAATTTTTAAAATCTTTATTTCTGAGAGAGGGATGGGCAGAGAGAGAGGGAGACGCAGAATCTGAAGCAGGCTCCAGGCTCTGAGCTGTCAGCATGGAACCTGATACAGGGCTTGAACCCACAAACCACAAGATCATGACCTGAACCAAAGTCGGATGGATACTTAACCGAATGAGCCACCCAGGCGCCACTCTCCCCATAGCATTTTTATACCGTTTTATTGAGGTATAACTTGTATACCATAAAATTCACTCATTTAAAGTAGTTTGACAGCAAGGGCAACAAAGGCAGATATAAAGAAATGGGACTGTATCAAACGAAACAAGTTTTTGCATAAGTGAAGGAAACCATCGAAAAAATGAACAGCAGCCTACTATATGGGAGAGGTATTTGCAAATGAAATATCCCACAATGGGTTGATACCCAAGATATATGAAGAATTCACACAACTGAATATCAAAGACAACAAACCTCCCAAGTGAAACAAACAAAAAAGGAACGGGCAGAGGACCTGAATAGACACTCCTCCAAAGAAGACGTCCACATGGCTAACAGACACATGAGAAGGTGCTCAGCACCGCTCATCATCAGGGAAGTACACAGCAAAACCACACTGAGGTGCCGCCTCACGCCTGTCAGAGCGGTTAGTATCAACGAGGCAAGAAATAACAAGTGTTGGTGAGTGTGTGACACAAAGGGAAGCCTCCTGCACTGCTGGTGCCATTGCCATGGACACTAGCATGGAAGTGACTCCAAAAACTAAAAATACAGCTCCTGTATGATCCAGCAATCCCGCTTCGGGGTATTTATCCAAAGGAAATGAAAACAACACAATTTGCAAAGATATATGCTCCCCTGTGTTCATTGCAGCGTTATTTACAATAGCCCATATACGGAAGCAACCCAAGTGTCCGTCCATAGATGAATGGATGCAGAAGGTGTGGTCATACACACACACACACACACACACACACACACACACAGTGGAGTATTAGTCAGCCAACAAAAGAATGAAATCACGCATTTCCAATGATGTGGATGGAACTAGAGTGTATTATGCTAACTGAAAGAAGTCACAGAAAGACAAATACTACATGGGAGGACACAGATACAAGGCCGTAGACATCAGGGGCCAGAAGAGGATTGGGGCTGAAGGTGGAAGGTGGAGACCAAAGAGATTGCCACAGCCCCTGGGCCCAACTGAGAGCTTCGTGTAAACGCCCAGCTACCTTGGTCACTGAGCGCACACTGCTGAGACAGCTGCTGACTTCAGCACACTTTTAGAATGCCCCAGTGTGGTGGTTAAAAAAAAAAAACATGGTAGAAGGTGCCTTGACACTACTCCCATCAAGAGCTGGAATCTATATATTTTTGTAAAATTTTTAAATGATTTATTTTAGGGGCGCCTGGGGGGGCTCAGTCAGTTGAGCGTCCGACTTCGGCTCAGGTCACGATCTCACGGCTCGTGGGTTCGAGCCCCGCGTCGGGCTCTGCGCTGACAGCTAGCCCAGAGCCTGGAGCCTGTTTCAGATTCTGTGTCTCCCTCTCTCTCTGACCCTCCTCCTTGCACTCTCTCTCTCTCTCTCTCTCAAAAGTAAAATAAAATATTTATTTTTTAAAATGTTTATTTCTGAGAGTGAGAGAGATAGAGAGAGGGGGTAGCCTTTGGCTGCTGAAAGTTTGCAGTGAAAGTACAGGCAGAGCAGGCGCGGTGCAGGGGCATGTTGCGCTGCTCGGTTGGAGGGGTCCCTCTCTCAGATGTGTAGATCTTAGGGCATGAGACAGGGTATAAACGAAGAGCCCCCTGAATGCCTTGGGCCGCTCTGGAACTCCAGAGACTATTATAAATGCAGGAAGTTGTAGTGATTTGCTAGAAAAATGTTTCAATAGAAATATAAGAGTTATGGTCAGTGCCTTTAAATATTCTCTACTCCTGTCCATTGAAATGACCCGGAAGCGATGACGCTTCATTAACAACGAACACATATAGTGCTCAATTTAGAATCAAGGCATCAGACTAATCCAGGAGTCCATTTTAACATCACTAAGGATGGGACAGCCAGGAAGTATCTGCCCCTGATGTGATCTGCTCCTCCATAGAAGAGCCAAGGCAAAAACGTTTTTAAAACTCCCTGTATCTCACCTTTCCACTATCCCCAAGAGTGCTCACTAAAGAGTCTGGGACAAAGTACGTGAACAACGTATGTCTGTCGAGTTGAATGAACGCAAACTTGGTAAAAAGACGCAATGATGAAAACAGTCTGGAGTTGCAGCGAGACCCACTGAACGCCGCATGTTTGCAGTAGTGGTCTACCACTTCTCTGAGCTATGTGAGGCTGCTTGTTAGTCTTCCAGATTCAGTTGCAGGAAGTCTACTTCTTGTGTAGAATCTGTTGATAATGGTAAACTTGATACATTGCCTTGAGTGAACAATGGATATGGAAAGCACAGTTGTATCCCTTCTTGCTTTAGGTGCTGAATATGAGGACCAGACCAGCCAGAAGGAGAAGGAAGATGATAAAGTCTTTCCTGGTGAGAGCCAAACCTACGTCTGGCAGGTCCTGAAAGAAAATGGTCCGATGGCCTCTGATCCACCATGTCTCACCTACTCATATTTCTCTCACGTGGATCTGGTGAAAGACCTAAATTCGGGCCTCATTGGAGCCCTGCTGGTGTGCAAACAAGGTAAGTGTGAGAGAGGGTAGGACTCAGGTGAAATAAGCAGAGAAGTACAAACATCTGGGTCGACTCATAAAAGGTAGCATTTGCGTCCTTTCATAAGGAGGCTTCTTTTCCTTAGCGTTATACCCAGGGAAAGAAAATATTATATTCCAGAAGCTCTGTCGGTAGTCCTTTGTAAATTTTATGTTAGGTTCCCTGAGAGCTTCCTGGAGATGAACACATCCAAGTGTGTCATCTGTGTCCCAAAAGCATATAAACATTAGAGAAAAGCAAACATTTATAACTTGTTATTCTGCAAATCATCTTATACTAATCAAAGCTGCTTTTAATTTATAGTTTAATGGCATGCATTAAATTAAGGATGTAAACATTGCAGAATTCACTTTAATTCAAAGTTTTTAATAGTGAATTCAGCTTCAGTAGACCTTTTTTTTTTTTTATTCCTTTAACTATTACTGCATGTCCCCATAATTTAGTGGCTTAAAACAACAATAATCGTTTATAATTTCTCATGGTTTTTGTGGGTCTTTCATGGAATTTGGGAATATGTTTACCTGATGGTCTGTCTCAGGATTTCTTTTTTTAAAACATTTTAAAGCTTATTTATTTATTTTGAGAGAGAGAAAGAAAGAGAGAGCACACACATGTACAAGTGGGGGAGGCACAGGGAGAAGGAGAGACAGAATCTCAAGCAGGCTCTGTGCCATCAGATGAGCCCCCCCGATGTGGGGCTCAAACTCACAAACCGCAAGATCATGATCTGAGCTGAGATCAGGAGTCGGAGGCTTAGCCTACTGCACCCACCAGGCGCCCCGTCTCAGGATTTCTTTTTTCCTTTTTAATTTTTTAATGTTTATTTATTTTTGAGAGAGACAGAGAGTGAGCAGGCGAGGGGCAGAGAGAGATGGAGACATAGAATCCGAAGCAGGCTCCAGGCTTCGAGCTGTCAGCACAGAGCCTGACGCGGGGCTCGAACTCACAGACTGCGAGATCATGACCTGAGCCGAAGTCGGACGCCCAACCGACTGAGCCACCCAGGCGCCCCCCGTCTCAGGATTTCTAATGAGGTTGTAGTCAGATAGTGGCTGGAGCCAAGGTCATCCTGAGTAAAACGTCATTCACATGTGTGGCACCTAGGCTTAAAAAGCTCAAATAGCGGGAGGGGGGGATGGGCATGGAGGAGGGCACTTTGGGGATGAGCACTGAGTGTTATGTAGAAACTAATTTGACAATAAACTATTTGTAAAAAAAAAAAAAAAAAGTGCTGTACAGGGTTAGGAGTAATAAAAAGAAGAAGAACCATAAAAAAAAAAAAAAAAAAAGCTCAAGTAGCTAGAGCTTTCCACAAGATCTTTTCAGCATGGGAGCTACAGGGTAGCCAGAAGTGTCTTTCCCCCCCTTTTCAATGGACTCAATTTTTTAGAGTGGTTTTAGGTTTACAGAAAAATTGAGCAGAAAGTACAGAGAATTCCCAAATACCAGCTTCCTGAGAGCCACACACAGCCTCCCCAACTGTGAACACCCCACACCAGAGCGGTCTGTTTGTTACAACTGACGTACCTACACTGACAATCGTTATCAACCTAAGTCCAGACTTAATATGATGGTTCATTCTTGTTGGTCCATGTTCTACGGTTTGGACAACTGGGTAACAACATGTATCCATCGTTACAGTGTCATACGGAAGGGTTTCGCCAAATCTAAAAATCCTCTGTGTCCCACCTGCTCGTCCTTTCCTCTACCACCCTTCAGCAACCACTGATTTTTTTTTTAAAGTTTTAACGTTTATTCATTTTTTGAGCAAGAGAGAGAGAAACAGAGTGTGAGTGGGGAAGGGACAGAGAGAGAGACACACACACAGAATTGGAAACAGGCTCCAGGCTCTGAGCTGTCGGCACAGAGCCTGACACAGGGCTTGAACTCACAAACCTTGAGATCATGAACTGAGCCAAAGTCAGCCGCTTAACCGAGTGAGCCACCCAGCTGCCCCACCAACCACTGATATTTTAAGTTGTCTCCATAGTTTTGTCTTTTCCAGAATGTCAAATAGTTAAATCATACAGTATATAATCTTTTCAAACTGGCTTCTTCCACTTAGTAATATGCATTTCAGTTTTGTCCATGTCTTTTCATGGCTTGATAGCTTTTTTCTTTTCAACACTGAATAATATTCTGCTGTCTAGATGGACCACAGTTAATTTGTCCACTCACCAATGAAGGACGCCTTGGTTGCTTCCAAGCTTTAACAGTGATGAATACAGCCCTGTGCAGATTTCTATACATACATAGTCTTCAACCCCTTTGGGCAGATGCCAAGGAACACAATCACTGGGTTGTACAGTAAGAGTAGGCTTCCTTTTAAACTATTTGTAAAAAAAAAAAAAAAGAAAGAAAAAAAAGAGTAGGCTTTCTTTTGCAAGCACCCGCCAACCTGTTTTCCAAGGTGGCTGTACCCTTCTGTATTCCGGCAGCAGTGAAGGAGAGCTCCTGTGGCTCCTCGTCCTCACCAGCCGGCGGCGTTGCCAGTGCCTGGGAATTGGGCCATTCTTACAGCTATGTGGTGGCATCACATTGCTGTAATTTGCATTTCTCTGATAACATATGATGTGAGGCACATTTTCATATACGTATTTGCCGTCTGTATCTCTTCTTTGCTGAGGTGTCTGTTCAGGTCTTTTTCTCATTGCTTAAATCAGATTGTTTTCTTATTGTTGAGTTTTAAGAATTCTTTGTACATTTTGGATAACAGTCCTTTATCACATATGACTTTTGCAAATATTTTTTCTCAGTCTTTGGTTTGTCTTCTTTCTCCTAAGTAGCCAGATCTTTTATATGGTGGCTCAGGCTGTCTTTTTATATGGTCCCGTGTTTAACTTGCCCTCCGAAATCACACAGCATCCCTTCCACCTCATTCTGTTTGTTGGAATGAATCACTATGACCAGCCCATAAGAGGGGAGTGGATTAGACTCCACCTTTGGATGGGAGGATAGGCAAAGAATTTGTGAACATGAACCACCATTTCTGGAAGATCATGAAGACCAGGAAAAGGAAAAAACAAGAGGGGAGGGAGTAGAAGAAGAAGACCGGAAGAGTTTGTACCAGCTTCATTTGTTTGATCCCTCATACACTAAGTTCAGTTTCTTTGTTTTTTTTACGTTTTTTAAAGTTTATTTATTTTGAGAGAGAGAACAAGCAGGAGCGGCCAGAGAAAGAGGGAGAGAGAGAGAATCCCAAGCAGGCTCCACACTGACAGCATGGAGCCCCATATGGGGCTCGAACTCACAAACCGTGAGATCATGACCAGAACTGAGACCACGAGTTGGACGCTTAACTGACTGAGCCACTCAGGCGCCCCAAGTTCAGTTTCATAGTCATAATTTATGACAAAGAGCTAAAACCACGGTGTGTTATTTGTGAGATGTAAAGTTTAATAAAACAATAAAATCATCAATACATGTTTATATATGAAATATAAATAAACATTTAGGATCAAAAGAATTATTTGACAGAAAATTGACTTAAAAAGTCAACAGAGGGGTGGCTTGCTGGCTCAGTCAGTGATGCACGGGACTCTTGATCTCAGGGCTATAAGTTCAAGCTCCACATTGGGTGTAAAGATTACTTAAAAATAAAGTCATTTTAAACAATCTACAGAGGTTCTGGTTCTGGGTAAGGATGAAGGAAATATATGCCACCCTTTATCTCCTATTGAACTCGACTATGGAACCTTAACAAAACACATAGCCCAGCCATTTGCGAGTTCTAAAAATCAAATAGAACAAGCAGGTCAGGAAAAGGCATCAGAATTTAAAGTACCACCAAACTGGCGGAGGATGTGAATATATATTCACTTTTTTATTCCCCTTCGATATTCCCCAAACTGGAAAAGGATGTGAATGTATATTTCTGGGAGGAAAAAGATATACAGATGGTTAACAAGTATGTGAAAAGGTGCTCAACATCACTGATCATCAGGGAAAGGCAAACCCAAGCCATAATGATATTTCATCTCGTACCTGTTAGAATGGCTATAATCAACATAACACTGTTAGCAACGATGTGGAAAAAAGGCACCCGTGTACGCTATTGGTAGGAAGGTAAATCGGTACACTGATTATGGAAAACAACTGCCATATGATCTAGCAATTCCACTTCTGGTGTATATCAAAAAGAATTGAAATCCGAATTTCAAAGAGATGTCTGCACTCCTGCATTTATTGCAACATTATTCACGAGAGCCAAGATGTGGAAACAACCCAAGTGTCCACTGACAAATAAGTGGATAAAGAAAATGCATTTCTTTAAAGTCATATGGGTATATATAATAATGGAATGTTAATCAGCATTTGAAAACAGGAAATCCTGTTATTTGTAAAACCGTGGATGACCCTGGAGGGTATTATGTTCAGTGAAATAAGTGAAATAAGTCAGTTACAGAAGGGTAAATATTGTAGGAGTCCACTTATACAAGGTATCTAAAATAGTCATAGAGTAGTTTAAATTCTGAAGAAGTAGGGAATATAATAGTGCTTGCCAGGAGCAGGGGGAAGGGAAATTGGGAAGTTGTTATTTAAAAGGTGTAAAACTTCAATTATGCTACATGAATAGTTCTAGAGATCTGTTATGTAACATAGTACCTATAGTTAACTATATGGTATTGTACACTTCAAAATTTGTTATAAGTGTAATCTCATATTAGTGTTTTTAACACACACACATACACACACATACACACACACACACACACACACACACACACTAAAAGACACATGGAAACTCTGAGAGGTATTAGGTATGTTTATTACCTTGATTTGGTAATGGTATCATGGGTGTTTTCATATGCGTAACTCATCAAATTATACATATTAAATATATGCAATTCTTTGTGATGCAGTAATATCTCAATAAAACTGTTAAAAATGAATTGTATTCTATATGAAGAAAAGGGAGAAAAAAATTTATTTGAGGAAATAATACCCGAAAATTTCTCTATTCGGGGGAA